GTGGGGGGGGGGGGGTGGCATGAAGATTGATCTCACAAAAACAGATTGCGAGAAGTGAAATGGATTGTACTGGTTTGAGTATAAAAGTCCGTGAACACGATAATAACCTTTGCGTTTCCCATAAAAGTTAGAAAATTCTATACGTATGTACGTAGTTCCCACGTGGGCCTACCTGTATGACTCTCATGGGCAGACCGGTCTCTTTGGCCAGTTGCTCCCGAATGTGCCTCGTCGGTTTCGGCGTCTGCGAAAACGCCGTCTTGAGGATCTCCAGCTGCTTGGCCTTGATGGTAGTCCTTGGTCCCCGTCTCTTGGACCCCGAGTTTCCGTCGTCCGGGGATTTGTTCTCCGTCTGCGAATCCCGCGTCTCCGGGTCCCCGTCCAGCGAACCTGCAAGATAATACTCTATAAAAACTAAACACTGTAACGATCAAGATCTCATAGGCTTGCATTTAACTAATTCTAAGACATACAAGATGAGCTGTAGCCTAGCAGCTTTTACGTCCTGTGGCTGGTACAGCAGTCTTCACCATACTAATCAAGCATGACACAGCCCTTAACCGAACGTCGCGCTAGGGTAGTAGCACTCCTTCGTATTTGGGAGTCCCGGGTTTGCTTAGCCTGTTCCTGCGGGATAATCACTTACATTTGGCCACGGCTGTTTCCTTCCACATGCAGAAGTTGCTTCAATAAGAACGTCGATGAGTGATTAATCAAGCAACTTACTAACAAGCCCTCCTGAATTACAGTAGACAATTAAAAGTCAACTTTTTTATATTTTTTCGTTTAAATAATGAAACAAACGTGACATGTTCCTCTACGTTTCTGTATCTCAGACCCACAACATACGAAAAGCAATTACATTCCGATGTGTGGCATTCTGAGGAGCATCAAGATAGACACATGCTCGGTGACCGATTTTACTCACCCTGATCCTCCGAGTCGTCTTGCCCCGTCTTGCTGTCATTGAGGGAACCAGGCCCCCCTACGATGGGTGTCATATCACCAGGCGCTAACGAATTGTTGTTCGCTTCGGGCGTGGTACCGGGGTGTACACCCCCGGGATGATGGTGCTTCAGTCCGCCCGTTCCTCCGGGTGTCGTCGCCGTCGTGCTTGTGCTATTGTCATCGTCATCATCGTCATCCGTTCCAGATCCCAGCAGCGACTCTGCGAACGATAGAATACAAACAGATAGGCCTACAGTCTTTGACGAGAAGAAACATGTTGAAATTGCAGCAAGTGCAATTTGTGACACTTTTTGTTTACAGACGTATTAATACCTATACAGCGCCGACATTTTAATGATCTCTGGCCCAACCTGCGAGCGACGTAGGAAGCCCCAGATGGAGTGTAAGAATACAACGCTGTTGTCGGCTCTTTATTTGAAATGCGAACGTCAGGGCGTGCAGTCACAAGCTTATAGCTATCAGAGTACATTCCGGTATGGTTAGCGGCATGTGATTCACTCGCAAACAGAGCTGGCAACGGACAGCCCGAAGCGCTGATTCAAGAGATCATCAAATAGCATCGCGATCGTAAACGACTCCGTGAGACACTTTTATAGGTTTCAGTACAGCCCACAACACACCAAACCTTACCTTCAAAGAACGTGCTTTTAAATACATGTTTTATGGGTTCAATAAATATTCCTTTTCCTCATGAGATTGGCATAAAAGCATGTTCTGCGCAACTTCCATGGCTTTTAAATCAGGTCTGTGGAACATATGATACAGGCCAACTTCAAATTCCGCAACACACAAAACAGCTCCAGAAGTACGTGCTTTTAAAAACATGACATGCAGACGAATTAGGCTCAGTAATCTTCTGCAAGGCATGTATCTTACGTTCATCTCTCGGTAATACAGTACTCGTGAAAATTTTAGCCTTTTATGAAACCCGAAATTTCATTATCATGTTTATACGAGCTCGCCACTGGTTCCTGCCCTAAATAAAATGAATCGCATTTCATTAACATCTATTTTAATTTATGCTCCATTTACTCCTACGTCTCCCGAGTGGTCTCTTCCCTTGAAGTGTTGTCTAATGTACGAACCACGTAGCGACTCTGTTTTCTTTGAAGATAACTTTTAACATTTGCCTATGTACAGCATCACGATTCAGGAACTATCACTCTTGTCTGTCTGTCTGTCTGTCTGTCTGCTGGAAGTAGCTCTCCTTCGCCACATGAAATATTCATAACCTCACGTGGGTCCTTTTCGTCTTATTACTGTTTGTACGTCAGTCGTGCCGTTCTCTTGAGGCAAAGGTTCATTTAGTATTCGCTACTTTGTAACGAAACTCCCACCACGTCACAAACCGTCGCCGCAGACAGGGATTAATTTCTTATTTTCGTTATGGCGTCGGTGATGGTAGTAATGAATTTTTGCGTCATTTATCGTGGCCTGCTATTAAGATGCTTGTTCTACTCAGTAACAACATTTGGGGAACAATTTTGTTAAAAATAAACACGTGATTTAATTTCTGGCACAGTGCCTTACGGAATAACACGTAAACAGCTTATCTGGTTGATTGGTAAGTTGTTTTGTTCATCGGTGTGTTGTTGAGTTTCTTGACTGGTTCATTGTCTTTGTTATTTGTTTCATTGGTTTGCTTACCATGTTTGTCGTTTGATTTGACGGTTTCTTTGAAGTTCTATTGGTTAGTTGCTTGTTAGTTTGTTATTTCACTTTGTTCGTTAATTGTTTGTTGGTTGTTTGCTACTGTTAATTGGTCGTGTGGCGGAAGTAGACTTCTTTGCGCCCGGACCAAATTCGAATAGGCTATATGGGCCTATCATTTGCAGTTTGCAAAAAGAAGAAACTTGGACGACAACAAATTTCCAGTCAAGAAGTAAGTAAAGAATCAGTTCTCCCGCTTTGTTCGCAGTTAATATCTCTTTTTGCCATGACAACATTTTTAGATTTAATAACACTTCTTGACTATAAGAGATACGCGCCATTATATCCTGTGTACTAGCTTCACAGCTTACGGTTACTAACCTTCAGAGAGCCTTTGGTTGTAAAAACGTCGTTAAATATACAGGTTGACGGTAAATATAAAGTCACTGTCAACAATTCCTGGACATTTCTTATTTTGCTACGTATGGTACGATCACTTGTATAAAATCTAACATTAACGAGGTAGGATGTATTCCCCAGTTGCACTAATCTTTAGGGACATCAATTCCAGTATGATAGGCCATAATTAACCCTTTCTGTGCTACGAACGATATATCATACCCAGAAACACCATGCATGTTTCCTCTGAAGTACGTTTGGTGCTAAACACGTCACTGATGAACTTTTCACTTTACTTTAACAATTCAAGCTATCATTTTGTTTCATTTTACCAGTAAAAATTATGCCCAAATTACCAACATACAAAAAATAAGACACATCTGACATGTAAAAAACAGCATAACAAATTAAAAAGTAACGGGTACTGGAATAACCAGAAATGTATACTTCCATTTCGGTGTCAAATATACAAACAGCCCAATTAGAAAACGTGTTTACATCACTTTGTTTTATAAAGCATAAACCAGTGTTAAGTAAAACCACTGATTCCTACATACAGTTCCAGGCGTTTGCAGGATACTCGGATAAATGTCTGTCAATCTGTCTGTCTGTCTGTCGGAGAAAGAAAACTACCTAACCTGCGTCTCTATGGAAACTGCTGACTAGTCCACGTATCTTTCAGTTTGTAATTTCAAAATGTAAAACAACTTTTTTAATCTCTACTTCCAACACCACAGAACACGCACAACACATACACGTCCGTAAATAGGAATTAGTGAGTTTTAACAAACTTGTTCTCGCTGGAATATTCACTTATTAGCTGGTTTAGTTTCTGTCCCTGTAAGCCTATGCGGAAATGCAGTATTACATGAAGTTAATGCTGTAACCAGTTAAAATGCTGGTTTAATATAATGTTTTGTTGTAATAAATATTGGAACAGTCGCCGGTGTCCATTTCATAAATCAATATTGTATCTTGTAGGTTTCACCCTTTTCATCTTGAATTTTAATCAGCAAAATTGTCTGCTTTTGTTTCTATACAGTTAAGCGTATGTCAGTGGCAAATTAAGACAGTTCCCTTCAAGGCGCCCAACAAATTTCTTTAAATTACCTGAAAGTAATTCAATTTGAATTTAAACACTAACGATGTTAAGAGCAAACGTGATCTCTATTCCAGATCTAGATATCCCGTTTGTAACAACGAAAACGTTGGCACAGCCGAAATTTCTAATAGAAGTTCTTATAATGCGTCATATAAAGGACATGTAAAGCTGTAATTATCATGAGTAATAGCCGATGGGCCGAAATAACTAACATCTGCGAGTTCATAGCAGCAGGTCTGTGGATCGAACATTCCAGAACGTTGCACGGAACACGGCTGACTGGTGTTCCGCCTCGAAAGTTCGCAGGTTGTCGTGTCGACATTAAGGCACGAATTTCAGGTGTAAAGACAGGGTGATCTCCAGTGTTACGGTGTTCGTAACTGAATCAGACGACAGACAGATGCAAGAAACGCATTAACAGGAAGAAGAATAAACATATGTATGAACTTTTGCAACACCTTGTCTGTAGGGTGAAAAGAAAAAAAAAATACTTGAAGGAAAGAAGTACGAACTTCGGTTCAAATTTAAATGTAAAATGAGCTAGTATACTGTTGTTTTAAAGCTAGCCTATGTAAGGAGATGAAGAGGAAATTGTGTAAAATGCAACACTCTGAGCTTGAAGTTGAGGCGTTTCAAAATTCATTAGTTTCGAGTAGCGAAAAGGTATAGTGCGACTTGTCATTCCAACTTCGCATTTAGTAGAGAATAATTACAGCAAAACCCGTGTAGGATACTGTGGTATTGCGATTACACATAGTAGATTCATGCGTTCTAAACAGCTTTCTGATAGGTTTCTAAATTTTTGAGTGCTACTGCGACTATTATAAACAAAAAAGTGTGGCGGGATAAATCCCCTTAGCTTATCGAATTCACTCGGATCGGGTGGAGACAGAACACGGTCCAAATGACGATCGCCCTTCGGTAAGGACCGACTTCTAGGAAATATGACAAAGCCTCCTGCTGGTCTGTTTTTTTTTTTGTTGGCCTTGTCCTCTAATTCGCAACGGTAACATGGTAATAGGCGCATATCTGTTCCCTCTTGATAAAATATCTGATACACAAACAAGAATTTTCAGGTATCAACATTACCACTTATCACTTTAGACTGGTGAAGAGTGAAAAATCACCTATAATACGAGGGAAAACTGTTTTTCCAATGCCGGATTACATTATATAATATTTAATTTTCTATTATATTCACTTACAAAATTAGTAACATGGTTTTAGTCTTCGAAGACAATGACAATAACTGTAACCTTTTTTTAAATATATAGCCCCACCCAAAGTCTTTAAAAGAAAGTAACGTTCCTTTTACACCAACGGCCTATATTAACACGACATGACGCTATATAGTCTGAGGAAAAATAAAAACACTAAACGACTAATAAAAATTATTTCCGGAAAAACAACTGGACGATGAATTAGTTGGGTTTTTTTTTACTCAAATTCATTTTTCATATTTTAATAATTCTTCAGCGTTCCGCCAAGAGACATTGTATCGGTGAGTCCTGTTTTGCATATCATATAAGTAGAACGCGTAATCTTACAGTATTATCATATGTATGTGAATGTTCTCGCTAGAAACTTTAAAACCAACTGACGAGTTATCATGTAACTTAGTATGAACATTATGCTGCCCCGCCTGCAAAGTGGTGGACAAAGACTATAAAAATAGAACGAATTCCATCAGGCCTGTTTGTATTGGCTGTGCTGCTGTTATACCGACTAAAATACAATTCTTTACTCAGCTCTGATTACAATCTGCTGTGGTACATTTCATCGATACGGTTAAGTGGTTTGAGAGTTTTCTTAAGTGTAGGAACTGACGATTTGTCAAAGCAAAGTTTATTGTGCAAATGCATCGACGAGGGACGAGGGTTACAAGGACCTGGTGCATGTCCCCCGCTGCTCAGTGCATTGTGTCCATCCAGGCGTGTTCCGTTCCCTCAGCTGGCGCCAGTTTATGCGGTCTCGGAACACGCATGTCCTATCAATTCTCCTCGCCGCCGCTGTCTTGCGTTCGCCGTGCTACTCAGGTGCTTCGTTCT